TTACTGCCTTGTAGCCAGTGGTTTGTTTGTGTTCATTGGGTGTTAAGTCAGTGCCACAATTCTCAGTGAGAATGCCCCATTTAAGAATTGGCTTGAGACCAGACTTTAGTATGGCAGGAGTACAGGAAAGCAATCCAGGAGGTTCTTGGAAAGCATTGACTGTTACTTTCTGATGCAGATGGTGGAAGAACCAATGAGGAAAGGTGTGTTGTTGGACCTTATACTAACTAACAAGAAAAATCTGGTTGGACATGTCAAGATTTTGGGCAACTTTGGCTGTAGAGACCACAAAATTGTGGAGTTCAGTATACTGCTAGGAGGAAGCAGAACAATGAGTAAGATTGCAGCTCTGGACTTCAGGGGAGCTAATTTTGGCCTCTTCAGGGGCCTTCTTGGAAGAATCCTATTGGAACTTGCTAATGGGAAGAGGGGTCCAAGAGATGGTCAGTATTCAAGGATCACTTCCTCCACACTCAAGGCTAGTGAATCCCCAACCCTAGGGAGAAGGTGTGGAGGAAGGAAGACTTTCCCTTGATTGAGGAGGATTGGTTTAGAGACCATTTAGTCCAACTTGACATCCACAAGCCCGTGGGCCCTGATCGGATGCACACATGAGTGTTGAGGAAACTGGCAGACATCATCGCTAGGCCACTCTCAATCATCTTTGAAATGTCATGGAGGTCAAGAGAGGTGTCCAAGGACTGGGAGAAAGCAAATGTCACCCCAGTCTTCAAAAAGGGCAAGAAGGAGGACCCAGGGAACTACAGGCCAGTCAGCTTCACCTCAGTCCCCAGAAAAGCAATAAAATGGCTTACCTTGTAGGCCATCTCTAAACATGTGGAAGACAAGAAGGTGATCTGGAATAGTCGGAATGAATTCACTAAAGGGAAATCATGTTTAACCAACCGGATTGCCTTCTACAATAGGACAACTGTCTGGATAAATGAGGGGAAAGGTGTGGATGTTGTCTACCTGGACTTCAGGAAGGCTTTTGACATTGTCTCCCATGACATCCTCACAGGCAAGCTCAGGAAATGTGGACTGGATGTGTAGGCAGTTAGGTGGTTTAAGAACTGGCTGAATGGCAGCTCCTAGGGAATTGTGATCAGTGGCACAGTCTGACTGGAAGCCTGTCACTAGTGGTGTCCCCCAAAGGATCCTTACTGGGCCCAATATTGTTTAACTTGCTCATTAATGACTTGGATGAAGGGACAGAGTGCCTCCAGCAACTTTGCTGATGACACAAAACTGGGAGGAGTGGCTGATACCCTAGGATGCTGTGCAGCTCTTCAGAAAGATCTCGACTTGTTAGATGGATGGGGAGAGTGGAACCTTTTAAAATTCAACAAAGTTGCTCCTGGGGAAAAATAACCTAAGGCACCAGTACAAGCCGGGGTCTGACCTGCTGGAGAGCAGTGCTGTGGAGAAGGACCTAGGGGTCCTGGAGGACAACAAGCTGTCCATGAGCCAGCACTCCAAGCCAAGCATTGGCCAAGAAGGCCAATGAAATCTGGGCTGCATTTGGAAGAGTATTGCCAGCTGGTTGAGGGAGGTGATCCTGCTACTCTCTTCACCCCTGGTGAGGCAACATCTGGGGTCCTGTGTCCAGTTCTGTTCTCCTCAGTACAAGAGACATGGAGCTTCTGGAGCAAGTCCAGTGAAGGATTACAAGGATGATTAGGGGACTTGACCATCAGTCTTGCAAGGAAAGGCTGAGGGAGCTGGGCCTGTTCAGTTTCAAGAAGAGACGACTGAGGTAGAGAGATCTCATCAATGTCTTAGTATCTGAAGGGAGGGTGTCAGGAGGACAGAGCCAGGCTCCTCTCAGTGGTACCAAGCAGTAGGACAAGAGACAACAGGCAGAAGCTGAACTACAGGAAATTCCACCTGAATATGAGGAAGAACTTCTTTACTATGTAGGTGACTGTGCACTGGAGCAGTTGCCTAGAGCAGTTGTGGAGTCTCCTTTTCTGGAGATTCTCAGAAGCCATCTGTACACAATTCTGAGTAATGTGCTCTAGGGGACCCTGCTTGAGCCAGGACATTGGACTAGATGACCTCCAGTACTCTCTTCCAACACCAACCATTCTGCGGTTGTTTAAAGCAGTCCTGCTTCACTGGGTGCTGAGCTCCAGTCAACTCCTGTATGTTAAAAAGCACAGGTGTAATGGGATCCTTAGGACCCAGCATTGCTGTGCTTTTACCTGGAAGAGCCAAGAACATTCCCTTGTCATATCACTGCCTTATTTTATCTGTAGTCTTTTTTTTTTCCCGTAGGAAATACCATCTGAGAAATGATTATGTGTTTGTTTTTCTTTTAAAAAGCAACCTAGAAGAAAGAGAAAAAACTTGGGCAATGGTCAAAGCTGTCACAATTCCTCAAGGGCCCTGGCTTGGCCTGCTAAGGCCCATCTCAGCAGCAGCAATGCCTGGGCTATGTGGAGGGGATGTCAACACTTGTCTCTGCTCCAGAGTGCACTTCAGTCCTACCTTCACTCCAGCCTTGTTCTCCGACATGTCCATCTTGCTATCACTCCTGCAAAGCAGCTCCTGCTTCTCCTGACTGAAATTCAATAGGAGATGCTGGGCAGTAGTGGGAATCACTTTTGCAAATTTATATCTTCCAGCAACAGGTTGGTCCATTCGTATTGATTACCTTACGTAGACCTCCAAAGCAGTTGGTGACTCCTTCAAGGTAACCGTGAACAGCACGCAAGCTACTACTGCACTTGTACAAGAGATTATTGTCTTGTTGCACTAGAGTAGATGAAAAGCTTCAAGAATTGCTATGGGGGGAAAATCCTGATGTATGAGAAGAGATCAAGTGAGCTGACAGTATAACAAGAGAACAGAATTTGTAAATGTGGATATTCAAAGTGAATAATGCAATGAGTGAAGCGCAGCTAAGTAATGCTGCAGAGGGCTTTTTGATTAGAAATTATAATTTTGTTCTTTAAAGACCATTGCTCAATTGAAAGTTAATTGTAATTGTTTTCTTTTAAAGTATGCTTATAAAATCTCACATATAATGTAAGCAGTGAACATGGTCTTTATGTACTGCAGGTGAAGCTGAAACTCAGGTGACTTGACATACACAACTCTGCTTTGTAATTGCCTTCAAAAAATTACATAAAATCTCTACCCTGTTCTTGATCCATTCAATTGAGTGATGATAACCTAGAGCCTAATTCTTCAGTGCCTTGAAATCATGACTAAGCAGTGTTGTGAAAATGCGCGTTAGTGTAAATAATTCAAAGTGCTGTAATTTGAAAATGTTGTACCCTTCAACATTTGTACTATTTGATTGTTTTTGCATCTAATAATTTTGCTTAGAGAATTTATTATGTTTCTTTTTTAGCTCATGACCTGGCACAACAGTGTAGTGTTTGGGCTTCTAGGAAGCCGTGAGGTTTAATGGGAATTAAAATAAATTTATTCCCTTTAAATATAAAACAGTGTCTAAATTGGTCTGAATATGCCTTTAAAAGGTGTTCTGTATATATATTCATGTGAGCTTGAACTGTATTACTGAATTTCAAAATTGGTATGTGCATGTACAAATGCGTTTGTGCCCACTCGTGTGTGTGCACTCGTACTTTATATGGGAAATGAAGGAATCTGGATTGATGTAGATTATTAAACTTTGGTCCCTTTTATATCTTGCTTAAAGGGGTATCTCAGCTGCTTTTGGCTTCAGTGTGGGGTTCAACGTTACAAATATAGCCTTTTCACTGCTGAGATAGGACAGAGCTGGGATGCAGTCTGAGCTTTTCTGATTCTGGCACTTGACTTGTCCTTGGGAGCTGATATATGACAGCTAGAATGGCTCAGGGCTGTATTATACATATAATTGTATGCTGTGTATGTATATTATATGCTGGGGCACTTTGTTGCCTGTGGCAATGTGAAAGTGGGTAGAGGAAGGAATAGGAAAGTACCTTCCTTAAATAAGGAAGACAGTTTAGTGGTGAACTGTGTTTTAGAAATGAATGTGTACGTTATGCTTGTGTGAACATAGACGCTTTTTTTGTCTCAGTTTTAAATAAAATATGTTGAGATGAGATGTTTCAGTACTTCCAAAGTTAAAGAAATTGAATTTGTCAGGCAGTTTTAGTGCCAGTGTCTGTACAAGGCAATGTTACTTCTTAGGTTAGGAGAGGTCACCAAACGGCTCCACAGTAGCCTTTAATTTAAGATGCAGCTTGTCAACTGTTCTGGTGGAAATAAAATGTTAAATGTAGCATTTGACTTAGAATTTGAACTGTCTTACCTGCATCAGGCACCTTTTTCCTTTATTCAAACTTATGCTGTTGCCTCAAGCCTGGCCTGACCTGGAGGAGATGAGGCAGCAGTTCTGTGCTTCTAGGAGTATTATGTGAGGTTGTCTGCCTGTCCTGCTGCCTCTTCCCAGCTGTATTACTAGAAGAGGTGAGGGAAGCTGCTTACTCTGAGCAAGCAGCTGTGCCTCTCTGGTTCCTGGCTGCTGCTCTGGGGTTGCAGAGAGCCGTAAATGGCTTGAAGTATCTGCAGGCAACAGCCAGCAGTGTGCCTGACAGTCTGCTGCACCCACCGGCTGCACTGGGGTTTACTCTGCGTCACAGCAAGCTCTTTATTCTTCTTGGCTTTTTGTTTGCAGGTACCTCAGAGATTCTAGAAAAGTCAAAGCTGCTTGTGCTATATAGCAAGGAAAGGAAGTGTGTGAAGTATTAACTAGATTTTCACTGAATGAGGGCTTATGATAAAAGATCAAAATGGGGGAAGAAATGTGTGTGTGATGACCTAAACCACAGCTGTATGTGACTTGGTGGTCCTTGTTCTTGAGGTGTTATCCGGTAGACAAGTCAGTTCTGACACAGTGTGATAAATTCCTGCATGGTTGAAATTTGGAGTGTGATTGCCTCTGTAGCATCCTTGTCTGCCTGCCTTGGAGGTAGTCGCGTGTCCTTGCCACGCTCCAGTGCAGCCTGAAGCGATGCTGACTTTTGCTCCTGTCCTTGCAGTTTGAGCGACGAGAGGCAAACATGGCCCAAGTGTCCGCTGATCCGAGTAGTGCAGAAACTGCTGACCCAGAGGAGAGTTCTCCAAATATGATAGTCTACAGAAAGGTAAGAATTTGGAGCTGTTTGCAAAAATCCCTTCTCAGTGTGTAAAAGGATTCCATGCCTCTTTTGAAGTCAGAGGTCTATCTCAGAAGGCTTGGAGTTTACAGGAAAGGAGGTATATAAAACTATAGAATTGGAGAGCTTGGAAATCATATTCTGCTCAGTGAAACCACTTAAGCTTGTTAGTGTAAAATATTTGCAAAAAAACTAATAAAATTTGTAACTTTTTGTGAATAGCTGTGATATGACTTTAGCTAATCCTTCAAGATTACCAAAGCTAGCTAAAATAATTGTACATACCTTTCAAGTTTTATCACACTAAGCATAAAGCAGCTGCCATACAACAATCTTTTAGTACATTTTTTCTATTTTCATATTGTGGTTTTCTTCATAATTAAGTTTGATTCTTTGCAGGTGGTTGTTCTTACTTCCTATTGCCTTGCTTAAATGAAAAAATAAGGAGAATCTTCTCAAGTGCTAGGGTAAAAATGAATTAGACAAAGGTACACTAAAAGCAGTATCAAAGAGCATTCTTTCACCATGATAAAATGTCTTATTCTGAAGTATGTTGGAAGCAATATAAAAGATGAAGGAAAGCAATCTATGCAATGCCATTTGCTAAGGCATTGCTTTTTTTGTGGAGTTGGTGTATCCGTTAGCTTTGAAATTGAGTTTTTTCATAGTTTAATGAAATAATGTAAATATATTTTGTTTAGCCTGCAAAATATTTCTTATGTAGTATGCAAAAGTGCTGTATAGTTCTGGCAAAAAGAAAATTTCTTATACAGCTCAAATAAGCTACCATTCCGTTAACTTAAGAGCTACAACAGTAGCTCAGATCAAGTTTCCTTTTGTAGAGTGATCCTGGGTAAAATTACTGAAATGGGGTATGTGGTTCTGTTTTCTGCTTGTGTGACTGCAATCCTGATGACTTTCATATGCTGAGAAAATACTTTAGGTTTTGTGTAGAGCATAAGTCGTTTAAAGTGTTACTTTTTGATAACCATAATTTTGGTTTAGTTGTTGCATATTTGGTTTGGAATCTGGAATTGTTAACATGGGAAAATTTTCTGGGTAATGTGTAGGCTTGTTTGTTTTGAATGTGTTATGAACACACTTTGGCTGCTAATTTGGAAGTAGCAGTAGTTGGTTAGTCATATTATCTTTTCAAAACCTGGTTGCTCGGAGGTCCAACACGCCAGCAGGTTGAAGTAGATATGGGATATAAAAGAAGTGTTTGCATGGTTGCATGATCTAGAATTAGGGCATTAAATCTGTGACTCTGCAGAGTATCCACTTACCTGTTCTTGAAAACATTGTTTTATTTATGTGTCCCATTTTCTATTAATCTTATGGCATTTCTACTTAAGGATTTCTTCATTTCTTTGTCTTTTACTGTTTAATTTTTGTCACTGTAGAATAGGGCTTGAGAGTTATCAACAGCTTGAGTGTATCAACAGGGAACATACTCAAACCATTTGATTCATCTCTCCTTGCTGGTGTTCCTCAGATGTCAGTATGAGCAGCCCTTCATAATGCAGTCATCTGTCAAAATACGTAGTTGTCTTTTAGAACAGACTGCTCCATGCATTGTGCAGTAATACTGTACTCTGTATTGTCAGTGTTAAGCTAACACATGTCAGGTTTTTGTTTTTTCTTTTGCTGAGGGTTTTTGTTGCATTATAAAAAGGGTTAATATCATGTATTCTTCAGAGTAATATTCCACTGGTGATTAACTTTCTAAATATAATTTATGTTATTTCTGGTATTAGTATTAGATATTATTTGTTATTTTGATATTATTTTTTATATTAGTTAGATGTATTACGCATCAGATATATGTTCCCTAGCGCTGAGAAATCATATGCAAAATCTGAGACAAGACTTTTATTCTCTTGATTATCTCTCTCCAAATGACTGTTTAGCTCTTCATCTCTCATTTCCTTTCAAATGGCTTAATTGCTAGTAATGAATGAGAAAAACACTGTACTGGACTCCCTGAAATATTGAACACAATCTGCCAGAATACCTAACAGTTCAGGATTGGTATTGTGTCACAGTAGAAGAAAAGGGTTGCTTCTAACAGCAGGGATCCTGAGATACAGTTGTTGATACCCCTTAGGAAGAATAAATAGGAGTGGATTTCAATAACGAGACCACAGTAAATCCTGCTGTAAGTGTGAACTATTGTCTTACTTATCATAATTGTCACATTTGTGGGTTTTGAGGGAGGAAAGCCCTGCAAATAGAACCCCAAATTGTTCATACTTTCTTTACTGAGAGTCACTGAGGTCTATTTGAAGTTCATATACCAAGAAGGTGGCTGTAGCCTAGTTTTCTTTATAGCCACTAACAAGAGATAGACACATTTAAAAGACAGATAAGACCTTAGGTGGTACTGAGTGTCCCTTTGGAGCAACCTCTCTTTGTTTTGTTTATGGAGAAAAGCCTAGAACAGGCTGTGCTCTTTATTTAGGTAGGTAAAACTAAGTGGGATGGGTTTTGGTCATGCAGAACAAAATAAACTAATTTATTTTGACTCAGTTTGGTTCATGATATTCTCTATGGACTCCTGCAAGCAAATGGATTCTAACTGCTTTGATTGTTACAGCAGATGGTCTCAATGAGATAAGTCTTATTTTCTTCTACCTTCAGTGTTAACATTTTGGGGGTTGATATTTATCCTTTTGTGAGGCACGTTACTTTTTAATCCAGAATATTCAGTGTTACCCCACTGTTTTGGAAGACACCTGTGTGTGAATTAGTGCAGATACACTTGGTAGTGCTGGTAGTGTTTAGGGTATAATTTGTCTCACCTTACCCTTGTTAAAATGAATTGTGCCTTAAACTACATGAGCTGTATTGACTAGGTCTCTGATGAGAATCATAGGTACCTAGTACCTTGCTGTCAGCTACTTATGTCATATGATAGACATCTATAATTAAACAAGCTGCATTCCACTCTTTGGACTTGTGCTTCCTCTCATCTCCCTGGATGTGTCAGTGCAGAGCCTTAAGCTGGTTATAGGGCTATGAGTAGTGCTGCAGTAAGGATGTGCTGTAATTTATCTCGTGTGGCGTAGGGGTACTTAATGAAAAATGTAAGGGTGCTGCAGATACTGCATTGCCATGTAAGTAGTGCTCTGTGAGAAAAATGCAGGAACTGTGTTTTCTTTAATCAGTCTGGCCACATCTGGAAAAGATGCTGATAAATTATTTTGATGGAATTGCTCCTGGAAGAGTGGTGCACAATGCTTAGTCTGTTTGGAATATGTTACCCTCCTTTCCATGGGAGCAGGGAGTGACTTACCAGTCTTCACTTAAGTCTGTGAGTGTTGTGTGGGTGCTGCAGCATGGAAGGAAAAAAATGCAACAAAAAGTCAGCGAGAGGAGAAAAAACACTCCTAGCAAACAGTAACAGAAAATATCAATTGATTTTAAATGCCTGTCACATTGCTTTGAAATCCAGCCGCCCTTTCTGTCTTCCAAGTGCTGGTTACTATGTCCCAGGGGCCCTTTGGCTCATTGTTCCAATAATCCATGTCTGAAAATTCATCTTTTGCAGACAACATTGAAAGACAAATGGTTCACGGACATCTTCTGGCACCAGATCTATTAGATGACCTATTACCAAAATAACAAAATAATTTGGCAAATCAAATCTTACAGAAAGGATGGTAGAAAATTTTCAGTTCACTGAAAGAAAAATTGAAATATTTAGGGTTTGGCTAAAGAAGAACTGAAAATACCAATAAGGAGGAGTACCTGGGAAATATAACAAGAAGGATGAAAACACAGAAATGAAAATCTAGATTGGATACTGTATATACAAGATGTACTTGTTCCTGAGAGAGATCTCTTAGGATGAGGCAGAGTTTGCAAACTGTACTGTTTAGAGATATTTAGAACCACTGTGAGCATACATGCTCTGAGGGGTATCAGAGGGTACTATCAAAGAAATGACCTGCACTGGTTGATTTCCATTTCTGCTTAATGTTTGCCAGACACATCCTCTACATCTGCTTGCTAACACTGGCACTTAGTGAGTTAAATTTTGAATTCTTATGGTTACTTATTGCAAATCTTTTGAACAAACAGGAAAATCTAATTTCCAAAGGCAATTGCTGTTCTAAGTAAATGTAACACAAACTTGCAGCTGCCACAAGATGCTTTCAGAAAAATCTGAGTTGTTTGCTACCTTCAGTACTTGGCAGCCTTACCATCTTTTTAAATGCTGATTTAAGATCTGAATTGAAATCATTAA